GCTAATCTGCAGCACAGATGAACTGAAAATAGAAGTGTATAGACTTGTCAAGCACTTATAGGAGAATGTAGAGATGCTGAAATCTGACACACACACACACACACACACACACACACACACACACACACACACACACACACATAACTGTGCCATTGATGGAATCCAAGGCTTGTGAAGAGATGGACATCAATGACAACACACACAAGATTCATACACAAATGCACTTGATCTAACATCTCCACACCTATAGGCTCTACAATTGCAGGTTGTGTCTGTAAATGAAAACTTGTATTTGATTGTAAATTTATCTTTGATTGTAATGCAGAAATGTGCACGTTTTCTAAAGCTGCTTTGAAGCAATACTTGTTGGAAAAAGCTATAACTAAACTTGAATTAAAATGAATTGAACCTAAATTTGGGTAAAATACGAACAATCCCAAAAATTGTGATATAAATTATTATTTTATTTATTTATTTTTTAAGTGAACTTGTTATAAATTTATGTAAGTCTGGCTTGAAATGAGTAGCGATTTATAGTAAATTGTTTTTGAATCATGTTGTAAATTACTGTTGTGGTGATTCTACAGTTACTATTGTAGCAACCACTATAGTAATTGATCTGTTGTGATGATTCTACAGTCGCTATGGTAACACGATGACTATAGTAATTGATCTGTTGTGGTGATTCTACAGTCGCTATGGTAACACAACTATAGTAATTGATCTGTTGTGGTGATTCTACAGTCGCTATAGTAACACAACTACTATAGTAATATAAACAAGTGAGCCATTACTGTAGTTTTCTACAGCTATAGGTTGTATTATACTGCTATACACCACACTTTACTGTAGTAAAAACTAAAGCATAATTACATTTACTAGTTTATAAGTAATGCCGTATTGATATATAACACATACAAATAATAAATTTCACTAGCTAGACTCAAAAATTATAGTTGCTGCTTGTTCAAACTGCCCTGAAAAACAGGTAATGACAAAAAGTCAAGACAATAAATGTGTTCATGTTGTTTGAACTTACTTTAAGTTAATCAGGTTCCAACTACAAGTTTGCAGTGTGTACATCGATTTAAGCTCTACACCGTTTAACTTCATATTTGTAGTCAGTTTTACTGATATAAGTTGAGATGACTAGAAAAGTCCATATGATTCAACTCAAACATTTAAGGCAGAAAGATGTTTTTACAGTGCATTTATCTAAAATCAGCTGAAACAGCACAATTATTGGGGAACAATTTCACTGTTTTACGTTCAGCTCAGGTGTCATGGTGGAGCAGTGGGTACCACCATCACCTCACAGCACTCAGGTATCTGGTTTGAGTCTCGGCTGGGTCAGTTGTGGAGTTTGCATGTTCTCCCTGTGTTGGTGTGGGTTTCCTCCGAGTGCTCCGGTTTCCCCCACAGTCCAAACACATGCGCTATAGGGGGATTGGCTAAGCTTAAATTGCCTGCAGTGTATGTATGTGTGTGATTGGGTGTGTTTGGGTGTTTTCCAGTGATGGGTTGCAGCTGGGAAACATATGCTGGACAAGCTGGGTGGTTTATTCCGCTTTTGGCAACCCCTGATTAATAAAGAGACTAAGCTGAAAAGAAAATGAATGAATGAATGAACGAATGAATGAATGAATGAATGAATGAATGAATGAATGAATGAATGAATGAATGAATGAATGAATGAATGAACTTAATGGATTTGTGTTGAGGCAACATGATTTAATTGTGTATAAGTCTGGATTTTTGTGCAGGTGTCCACATATATTCTGTGTGTACATGATTACTTGAATTTAATGTGACTTAATTAAATGAGTTAAGCAGTAAGGGGTGTGATGCCTTAACACTGGACAGAATGCAGGGTTCCACACAATTCCTTTATGTTGTCCAAACACAAATGAAATAAGTAAACTTAATTGTTTTTACAAATTTAAGTGGCTTGAACTTAAAACAGTGAAGTTGTTCCCCAAAAAACCCAAGAATTGTCTTGATTGAGCTCAGCGTTTTAAATAAGTTTGAACAAGCAAATAGCTGTAAAGTGTATACCGTGTGTGTGCGCGTGCGTGTGCGTGTGCGTGTGTGCGTGTGCACTCAAGAAATGGCTTTTGCTGATTGTACAAACATCTTATTTAAATTGAGTTGAGCTGAAACGACACAATTATTTTAATGAGGGGCAACTTGTACGCTTATTTTGTTTTATTTTGCTCGTTCAAACTACTTATTTAAAATGAGCTGGAACAACACAATTATTGAGGTTTTGTTGGGACAACTTGTCTTTTTGTGTTCAATCCACATACTTTAGTTAAAAGTGTTAAATTAACTTAATCATTTTGTGTTGGAACAGCACTAATGAATTATGTGGAACCCTGCTGTTTTACAGTGTATGTTCAATCCACTTCAGCTGTACAAACTTAATTCCTTCATGTTGTCTCAACACAAATCGATTGTGTGAAACCCAGCATTTTTACTGCGTGTGTGTGTGTGTGTGTGTGTGTGTGTGTGTGTGTGTGTGTGTGTGTGTGTGTGTGTGTGTGTGTGTGTGTGTGTGTACCTGTGAGATGATGATGTATAAAGCTACAGGCAGACTTCAGGAGGAGGAGGTGTTGAAACACGCCGTCCGGTGATTGATTTGCTCCTGGTTTTGTCGGAGACACAAAAGGATGCCATGTCCTTTCAAAGAGTATTTCATCCAGCTTAATATAATGCTAATATTAATAATAATAATAATAATAATAATAATAATAATAATAATAATAATAATAATAATAATAATAATAATGAGACGTGTGCTATATTTATGCATCAACTTTATGCATCCGATCGGATATTTGGCCAAACTTGTGTCATATTGCTCAGAGATGATCTTAAATGGTGCTTTAAATGTTGCGTCTCTGCTTTCTCCTGGACTGTATTTCCATATTAAATACAGCCCGTCATATCTGATCCATCTGTCCGAAAAGAGCCGAGCTTCGTGTAAATCTTTAACGAAAAACAAGAGCAGGAACTCCTGCGCAGACTTCATTATCCTCTAAAAGCTTATACTAGTGCGCCTTAATATTTAATAGGCACCCAAATAACACCAAGAAAAAAAGGGAAAAAGCAATGTAAATGTATACGGGAGAGCTATTGTGCGCGTGTCTGTCAAACTTCACCAACGCGTAACCTGTTCTCGCTGCAGTCCAGTGTGTGTGTGTGTGTGTGTGTGTGTGTGTGAGAGAGAGAGAGTGGAGGAATCAATCATACACTTGATGTTACTCCTGATAAAATGTCACGGGTTATTTTCTGAGATAAATAAATAAATAAATAAAAGCACAAGTTTAGCTTTACGCACGCTTTTTGATGATGTACACAGCAGATGCGCATTATCATAACAATCAACATCCAGTATTATTTGCTCTGATTAATAGCATTTTCCATTAAAAACTCCATCCTGTCACTTAGTAAATGAACGGCGCGGGTCAGTCACTTGACCTGGCGTCTATTAACACACACACGCCGACATTTGCTCGCTTATTGTCTGACTAATTTAATTTCACAGAACACTTATTTCCCAAACTCAAGTGCGTGCCAGAGGAGAAGGAAGGAAAGGGTGGAGAAGAAAAGAAGAGAAAAAAAAAAACTTGCCTGATAAAAGTCTAACTCAATTTGAGGACAAGTACCTTCATCTGTAAATGAAAGCAATTATGCGGCCCATATTATATTATGTTGGCCGGTCTCAAGATAGTCATCAATCACCCGCAATCGAGCTGTCACTGCGGGCAGATTCGTTTCTTGCAGGCAGTTTTCCAGCTGGGGAAAAGAGGAGTACATCATCATTAATTTGACTGTGACCCCGGGGCTTCTCACATGTCTGAACCCGGGCTTCTCTAAGCGAGTCAACAACACACACACACACTCACACACCTTCATCGCGCTCATTGCAGAAATCAGGATTCACACATGCACACACTCACCGATAGATAGATAGATAGATAGATAGATAGATAGATAGATAGATAGATAGATAGATAGATAGATAGATAGATAGATAAGCACACTGTCCAAGATTTCTCCTATGCTGATTATTTTAATGATACACACCGACAAAGATTGAACTATACAATAAAGTCGCACAAATGTGATAGTGTCGCATTTTCCTGATCACAAATTAATATGTCATTAACTAATATCTCATCTGTGTCCCGTGAAACTTTTAATTTAGCCATAAAAATGTCTTATATTTATGCAAATCGACAGTATGACAGGTTTGGATTTCACGTATATACAATTTACATGCGGCATATAGATTTAAAATAATGCAAAAGTGGCCATTTATATATTTATTTTCAACCATTGGAATTACAAACATGCTCATATGTGTTCAAATATTTCATCTATAATTATATATGCATGATAAAACCGTTCTGCATCAATTGATCACTTTAATTTAAATCCGAATTAATGCAAAATATGAAGCCAGTTATGTAATATGCCTGCCTTATGAAATCAAAACCAAAAGTCGCATGATTTCCTGACAGAAATGAAGGATGTTTGTTTAAGCATCGTGCATTTTTTTCTGAGACTAAAGCAGCAATAAAAAAAAAGATATTGTGTGTGATTGTCACATTTTACAAGTGTAATCTCCTCTTCAAAGCTCGGGGTTTAATTGATAAGCTCAATTACAAGCCCATTGCGCATCCAGATCTCACCCCACCCCTCCGCCACTCGATGGGATATATGTTTTTTTTTTTTTTTATCCAGAGAAATAATGCATATTAAAGTTAGAGTCTGGTCATTTTGACTGGGTTTCTTCTGACGTCACAGCCACCGGCGCTTAAAACAACCCGCATCTGGGCTGACGTGTTTAATACTAGTTTTTATAACGCAAAATATGTATTTCTGACATCAAAGGCGACAACACTCGCAGTTTCTTTCAGGATGTGCGCGTTGTAGAAGTTTATCAGTGCGACAGGAGGGATAAATCAAAGCGTGCATCAGTTGAACATCTCCTGGAAGGCGTTTAAAGCGAATTAAACATGCTAGAATCGCGCTTCGCCCTATAAGCGTCCGGCAGCTTTATGCGTTACCAATCAATCGGTACACTGAAACACAGCAGACCTGCAGTCTCGCCTGCGTTCCGCGAAAGGGGGATCACTTTACAATGTCCTATCCTCAATTCGGATACCCATACTCTTCTGCACCTCAGGTAAGATGCTCAGATTGTTAGAAAACGCCAAGTTCGGTGCGCTCCCGTGCACGCGCGCCCGCTTTAAAGCGGATTTCTGCGCGGTAATTCGGGGCTTCCCTCTGCGCTTATCAGTTTACAAATCTACGAGCACCGACACAGAGGCGACGGCTGGGGGAAGGAGGACAACAGTTGTTTTGTTGGCCACGATCCATGTAGTGTCCTGCGGGGGCGGACTGTGCCAAAAATCAACTTTCACTGCGTGTTTTGGAGCTTTTTAAAGTCGGGTTTCTGTGTGTGTTCATGCTGTGATTTCTCCTGATTGTTCCAGTTCCTCATGACCACCAACTCTCTGACATCTTGCTGCGAGTCGAGCACCAGATCCATCCCGGACTCATCGGCGCAGACCCCCGTGTACTGCCCGGTGTACGAGAGCCGGCTGTTGGCCACCGCCAGACACGAGCTCAGCTCCGCCGCCGCGCTCGGGGTCTACGGCAGCCCGTACACCGGCGGACAAGGCTACGGGAATTACGTGACCTACGGAGCTGACGCATCGGCGTTCTACTCTTTGGTGAGTTTGCGTTTTAACCCTTGAAATTATCGTTTCTAATCAGCTAACTGCAGCGGTGAAGTGATGTCATCATCAGCATTATTATTATTATTATTATTATTATTATTATTATTATTATTATTATTACACGGTATAGCTAAATAATAATGTTTATAAAATCGTGTGCAGATTTGCTCTTCGGTGTTTGGGCTGACATTTGCATGACACTGAACTGATCTAAACTGAACTGAACAGTTTCAGATTAGTAGAACTTCATCTGCATTGTAAAAGCGCTGCAGAAATGAAGATGAATTGAGTTGAATGTTTTTAATGAATCTGTTTTACGCGTGTAGAAGTGTTTGCGGGGTTTGGTGGCTTGCATGACTTTCTCATTTTACGCATTTATTAAATGGGGTTGGCTGTTTGTTCAGGCTACACATTTAAAATGAGCTGAATCAACACAGTTCTTGAAGTTTTTTTAGGACAACTTATTGGTTTTACGTTCAGTCCACTTACATTTGTAAACACTAAAAAAGTAGCTTAATGTTTTCTTAACACAAATAGATTGTGTGGAGCCCAGCATTTAGTTTAAGTTTAAGTATTTAGTTCAACTTTTTACGGTTAAGTAGACATTTATTACCTGCCTAATGATAATATAATGTGTTTATTAGTACACTGTAAAAATATATGACAAATTATGTCAGCATTTAAGTTCATAATAACTTAATTATCTCAGTTAATCGTGCTCTAACTTAATTTTATAAGTTATGCAAGCTGTTTTAGGTCAGTTTAACATGATTTAGTTCTATGAACCCATAATGTTAATTTGATTCAGCTTAAAATTGAAGGCACCCATGCTTGTTTTACAGTATACTAATAAAGCAGATAATCTGCATGATTTTATTCTACAGGGTGGGTCATTTATATGGAGACACCTTAATAAACTGGGGATTTCACAAGAAAAGCAATGGTGTGCTTGGTTACATAACTTTTTTCTGTCATGAGTTATTTACAAGCCCCCTCACCTATACTAATGTGGCATAAACAGGACGATAATATCACCAACCATTCATATTTTAAGGTGTATCTATATAAATGGCCCACCCTGTATATCTCTATAACTCATGCTGACTATTAACACACGTTTGCTGCAGGAAAAGGTTTTAGTTGCTGGTTTGTTAATAGTGAGAATTGCACATCAAGTTTTGCACTTGACAGCAGTGTTAAGTTAACTGCATGAGTGTTATTCTTGTGTTTATTTGCAGGGAACATTTGACGCCAAAGATGGAAGCGCGTCTGCGCATGCGGGGATAACACCGGCTGCCGCATATTACCCATACGATCCCACCCTGGGACAGTACCAGTATGACAGGTATTGAACAGCGGCCATCATAAGAGTCTTCTGATTGCTAATTAACAAGTGCAGGAAGTTCAGCAGGATCAATTGCGCAGGCAGCGCTCAACACATTTGATGGAATCATATTTAGCTCAATCATTCAAACGCGTTTTTCCGAAAAATTAAAATTACCCAGTGACATTTTCAGTTCACTAATGTATATTTGATGTTATATCATGCACTTGACGCTTTACCCTTCAGGGTTTTCCCTGAAGTGCTTTAATGGACGGTCAGAGCAGTCTGTGTGCACTCGATCAAGCAATTCATACGCTCTGTTATGCCTCTAAAAATATCATGAAAGGAAGTTTAGAGCTTATGGAAACAGCCTCGAATGTCTTATTAACATCAATAACTTCTCTGCTAACTGCAGGTACGGCTCTATGGAGGGCGGGACCCGCAGGAAAAACGCCACCCGGGAGACCACGAGCACGCTGAAGGCCTGGCTGCAGGAGCACCGGAAAAACCCCTACCCGACCAAAGGAGAGAAGATCATGCTGGCCATCATCACCAAGATGACCCTCACTCAGGTGTCCACCTGGTTCGCCAACGCCAGAAGGAGACTCAAGAAGGAGAACAAGATGACCTGGCCACCGAGGAACAAGGGCTCGGACGAGAAGAAGTATGATGATGATGAGGATGGATCACCAGAGGAGCAGATCAAGAGTGAAACCAATGATGACGGTCAGCAGCATCCCACTCTCTAAACAATACTCTAAAATGCTGGGTTGAGTTAACCTTATGGGGACAATATGGACAAAATTATCAGTTGGGTTAAAATAAAAGTCATTCAAATGTACTTTTAAAAAGATATTTCACACAATATTTGCTTAATACAATCTAGCAGCATATATATATATATATATATATATATATATATATATATATATATATATATATATATATATATATATATATATATATATATATATATATATATATATATATAGTTTATTGCTTCTCCACCTTCAGCTGTCAGATTTCAGATTTTACGTTTAAAGAGCTTCCTGAATATATAAAAAAATATATATATATATACATAATTTTAACATCCATGGAACATTTTTAATTGCACAGAGGAGAATTTAGAAACTTATTTGGAAAAGAATTTAGAAAATAATTGGTTGCTCTACTGCATTAGTAACAAAACTAAGAATACAATTAACTTTAAAAAAAGAAAAAAAAACGAGAGTGAAATTATAAAAGGCTGGGTTCAATTAATCAAACGTTGGGTGCTATATATATATATATATATATATATATATATATATATATATATATATATGACTTAGTATTTTTTATACATTTAAAATGAATTAAAAATAAAAATGCTTTTGATGCCATTAGGACAAAGTTATGGAAAAACACTAAATATATATGACAGTGTTTGGGCTTGATTATATTTAACCCATAAATGTGTGCAAAAAAAAAAAAAAAAAAAAAAAGTTCAGAAAAGATAATGATAATAATGAAGCCTTGGCCTCTGGTATTGCTAATTTCATTCATTTACTAACGCGTAACTTGCTCGCTCTTGCAGTGCATTGACTCTCTGTCCTGTTTGTCAGCAGAGAGCAAAGATCGAGAGGACAAGGATCTGCAGCTGAGCGACCTGGAGGACTTCGACCCACTGGAGTCTGAGAGCCCGGAGTGTGAACTCAAGCACCGCTTCCAGATCAGCGCGCACATGGAGACCAAAGACCCGCAGAAACTTTCCATCCCCGGGCTGCTGGAGGAGGCCAAGAGCTGCCTGAAGAGCCCGGAGGACTGCGAGCTGGAGCTCCGGCACAGCAAAGCGTGTTTCCAGCAGCAGCAGCAGCAGAGCCACCCGATACTAGACAGCAAACCGCGGATCTGGTCTCTGGCGCAGACCGCCACCTCCCTGAACCCCGCGGAGTTCCCGTCCTGCATGCTCCGGTGCCCGGCCTCGCCCTCCCCCGCCGGCGGCCCCGACAGACAGCAGGACTCACCGGTCACCACGCTCAGAAACTGGGTAGACGGAGTTTTTCACGACCCCTTGTTCAGACACAGCTCGTTAAACCAGACGAACACTACTGTTTCTTGGACCAACAAAGGCTCGATTCTAGAGACAGGAGCCCTGGGACGCTCGGTGGCGGACAGCGGCAAGCAGGAGGCCGGCAAGGACACTATGACATTTCCAAAGGGGGTGAATAAAATATTCTGCTCCTAGCACACTGGACATGACTGCCAGAAAGAGACTGTTTGGAATAGCTGTCTGCGGTTTTCTGTGCGCAGACTGTGAATCCACATGGGCCCAAAACTGGTTTTGTTATCGCGGGAAGTTGTGTGTATTTATTGCTGTATGACATCTCACTGGCGACGGCATTGGTTTATATATATATTGGTTTGGTTGACGCACGTTCAGATTATGTAAATGAACTGGAAGTTTATGTTCTGAAAGACTGACAAAAGTTTACAGCCCAGTTTGGTTTCAGCTTTTCTTTGGCATGCATATGTTGCTAGATTTTCTATTTGATTTTATTATTATTATCGGTCATTCTTTTAGACGGACTCGGACCTTGTTGCATCGACTCACAAGTGTCACTATTAAGAAAGTATCGCACACATGCACAGATCTCCTGGAATGGAGAATGTTCAACCTGATCACTCTAATAAACGGTCGATTTTTCCAAGCGTTTCTCCTGTGTATCGATCCGAGTCGCGGAGTCGCTGTCCCTGGTGCTGAAGATGCTGCGCCTTACTCCACTGCAGTGTGTGCGTGTGTCCACTATTAAAAACACTGGGTTTTATAACCCAACGCCGGGTGAACTAGGGACCAACCCAACGTTGGGTTATTTTTTCAGCTAAATTTGAACACACTTTTTTTAACTGAACGATTGCAACAGAAGTAAACATTTAAAGTAGATCATCACCTTTTAACAAAGTTGTCCAAAAACTATTGGATAACACCCAGTCTTGTCCTCAGAAAATACTAATAACACATTTTTTAATCCACTTCAAATGTTGTCTGCTGTATACACTGCAAAAAATATATTAAAATAAAAAAATAAAAACAAAAAAACGCTGGGTTCCACACAATTAATTTATGTTGAGAAAACACGAATGATTTAAGTTAACTTATTAGTTTTACAAATTTAAATGGATTAAACATTAAACTATCAGTAATTGTGTTCTATGTATGTATATATATATATATATATATATATATATATATATATATATATATATATATATATATATATATATATATATATATATATAATATAATATAATATAATATAATATAATATATATATAATTTAAAATGCCACTTGTGATGCCATTAGTCCAAATGAAACTCTTTTAAATGTTGACTACTGTATATTTGATTCAATATTTTGATGCTGGATTACACTAATGTAAAATCAAAAAAACCATAAAGGATTGTGTTGTTTCAGCTCATTTTAAATAATAGTTGAATAATCAGCAAACATAATTTTTTTGAGTGTATTTGGCCCAATATTTTGACGTTAGTCATTACATGCCATTATATATATATATACAAATATATATACACAAACACACACACACACACTTTCAGAAATAAAGGGATGTGAGTTGTCACTGGGCTTGTACCTTTTTCAGACATTTTTGTACCTAAAAGGTCCATATTAATCCTTTAAGAGTACATATTATTACCTAAAAAGTACAAAAGTGTTCCTCTTAATTTTATTAGGTACTAATATTTACTTTTAGGAACCATTATGGACCCTTTAAGTACAAATGTGTACCTTTTGTAAAGGTACCAGCCCAGTGACAGCTCTTGTACCTTTATTTCTGAGAGTGTATACACATTTTAAAATGGCACTTTTGATGCCATTAGTCCAAATTAAACTCTTTAAATCCCTTTCTGATGTTGATATTGTATATTTGACTCAATATTTTGATGCTGGATTACACTAATGTAATATCTCAGCATTATATATACACACATATACATTTTAAAAACCATTGTATATAAAATCAACACATGCACACTAATTTAAATGCCACGTTTGATGACATTAGTCCAAAGTAACAGCAGAACAATGCCAACAAGCCCCGACTGTCCTCTCTAAATAATGCATAAGATGTTCTCAGCGGTGATTGTTTGGTGTTTACTGTGTGTTTGGCTTTGTAATAATCCCTCAATAACTGTTTATCATTCTACGCTGTGCTCTGATGGGAGTCCCGGGGCCCTCAGGAGCCATAAGACAGCGTTGGATGAGCCCCATTAACCCGCCATAACCAGCCTGTAATTGGGATGTTTTCAGTCATCATTCACTTCACTCTATCGATTTCCACTCGCTTTGATAATATTATCCAAACGCCAAATCCTCCGCCCTGAGAGTGCGGTTCATGTGGTGGAGGGCCAGATCATTGGAGGGTCTGACGCTGACAGGGACCCTGCGCTCCTGGAGCCGATGTAAGTGAAAAGGGCAGCAGAATTAGTTGCTCCAGATAAAGGGCAGAAACAGGCAGGAGCTGACAGTGATGGGGAAAGTGTGGCCCCTGGGGGCCCGGGGTCCACAGAGAGGCCCTCCACTGATGAATGTCAATGCGAAAGCCAAACGATTGAGATCTTCTCCTGAACAAAGACATTTGAGGAGAAAATAATAAAACAAACCAACAGAAATGAGTTTTGTCTGTGCACTCGAAGAAGACGTCTGCTGTTAGCTCAAACTGCTCATTCAAAAGCAGAATTCTCCAGCTTTTGTGTTTGTTTGCTTGTTTTTTTAACGTTTTACATTCAATCGAATTAAATTTGTAATAACTAATGAGTCAACTTACTAGATTTATGTTGAGACAATATGAAGGAATTAATAACTGTGTTCAAGGTGATGAAAAAGTGATGCAATACAATAAATATTAATGCTTAATGATTAATTAGGGGTGGAGCAGTGGTTAGCACTGTGGCCTCATAGCAAGAATGTCGCTGTTTTGAGTCTCGGCTGGGTCAGTTGGTGTTTCTGTGTGGAGTTTGCATGTTCTCCCCGTGTTGGCGTGGGTTTCCTCCGGGTGCTCCGGTTTCCCCCACAGTCTAAACACATGCGCTATAGGGGAACTGATCAACTACACTGGCTGTAGTATGAGTGTGTGTGTGTGTGTGTGAATGAGTGTGTAAGAGCTGTGTAAAGCATATGCTGGAATAGTGGGCAGTTCATTCCCCTGTGGAGACCCCTGATGAATATGAGACTAGATGAAGGAAAATAAATGAATAATTAATTAATGTAAATCTTTAATAATGAAGATGAGTTAACAGCTAGTAATGATCAGTTTTGAATATAGTAATCCTTGTCATTGTTTTTAACAATTCTACACTCTAGACAATGCTGGGTTGTATAAATTGGGTTTGTTCATTTTTGACCCAACATTGGGTTAATAGGCTACAGCATTGTGTTTTTTAGAAATGTTTAATGATGGTGAGGATTAATATATTCATAACTGATCTTTAAAAAGGGCAATTTAAATTTAATTGAAAAGGTTAGCCACAAATTGGGTTTGTCCTTATTTGACCCAAGATTGGGTTAAAACTGCAGTATTACTACAGTTTCGAGCATTTATTTTGTAAAATAAAAAAAATAAAAAAACATTTAAATTTACTTAAACATTAAAATATTATTAGGAAATAATGCCCACATAATAATGATAATAACAATAATAATAATAATAATAATAATAATAATAATAATAATAATAATAATAATAATAATAATGTTGATGACTAGGATGATTATGATATTTCTTTATTATTATTATTATTATTATTATTATTATTATTATTATTATTATTAGTTGTAGTAGTTTTTATTTTATTATTTTAGTGAAGATGATAATAATAATAATAATAATAATAATAATAATAACAATAATAATAATAATAATAATAATAATAATAATAATAAATAAGTACAAAAATTATAAATAAACAGTAGTAATAATAATAATAATAAACATAAGAATAATAATAATTTTCGCCATCATTATTATTATTAGTAGTAGTGTAATGATGATTATGATGATAATAATGATCATCATATTCTTTCTTTCTTTCTTTCTTTCTTTCTTTCTTTCTTTCTTTCTTTCTTTCTTAATTATTTATTATTATTAATAGTACATTATTATTACTATATTATTATTATTATTATCATTATTATTATTATTATTATTATTATTATTTAATATTACATTATTGTTATTTTTATCATTAATATTATTATTATTTATATTTTTGTTTATATTATTTTTAATATTATTATTATAGTGATTATAATATTATTAATACTAATATCAATGATAATAATAATAAGAAAGAAAGAAAGAAAGAAAGAAAGAAAGAAAAAAGAAAGAAAGAAAGAAAGAAAGAAAGAAAGAAAGAAAGAAAGAAAGAAAGAAAGAAAGAAAGAAAAAAATTAATAACATTAATCATCATCATCATTATTACTTGCGGTATTAGTATGGTGATGATTATGATGAAAATTATCATATTCTTTCTTTCTTTCTTTCTTTCTTTCTTAATTGATGATTGATCTATTATTATTATTATTATTATTATTATTATTATTATTATTATTATTATTAAAGTTGCATTTGTCCGTATTTGACCCAACGCCTGGTTAAAACACCTCAGCAGTTTTTAAAGTATAAAAATATTTAGAGGTTTCTATAAACTTTATGGTTACAAAAAAAAAAAAAAAACTGGTTTGGAGAGGACAGAGAGGGGGTGGTGGAGCCAGTGAAGCGTGTCAAACACACACACACACACACACACACACACACACACACACACACACACACACACACACACACACACACTGGAGGGATGATGCTGAATTAACGGCGCTTTTACATAGAAACCGAATCAAACTGTAATCAGCGGCGCGTTACTTTTCATTAAGCGGCTCTGACAGCAGCATATTCGGCTCGACAGGGGACACGGGCCCCTGAAACAAACTGCTCTCACAACACAGAGCCATAAGATAATTCCTTAAGCTCCATTAACAACTCTTAGCCGCGGGAAACAGAAAACATCTCCAAATCTAAAAGCTTTATCGACCTCCGCTGATGGCTCCGTCCCTCCCCTCCTTTATTTATATATTTGTGTTGATCTGGAGGGACAGGTAATAGAGTTTAACACAACATATTAGCTGGAGAAAGAGGAGCAGGTTTAGATCTTTAACTCGCCGATTAGTGAGTGTTATAGTGCTGTGGTGTATCTGATATTCAGAGCAGCAGTGTCGACTGAGATCTCTCTGCATCTGTCGCAGTTATGTGCGTTTTGTCGAGTTAAAATTCTCTGAAAGCGCCTAGAGACAAGTCCATATGAGACACACACTGACGCTGAGCAAAACAAAATAAATAAATAAATAAATAAACATATCCGACTATTAGTATAATAATAATAATAATAATAATAAAATCATAATAAAAATATATAATAATAATAATAATAGCAATATTAAACTGCCATTATTATTATTATTATTATTATTATTATTATTATTATTATTATTAGTATTATTATTATTATTATTATGTAATACAATCTTGACAACTTTTTTTTTTTTTGCGTTTGCATTTCAAAGATTTACATTTAAATGATACTATATTATTATGAATATTATTATGTAATAATGTCAGTGGGTAGCACAAT